CACCCTAACTCTCTCTCTCCTCCACCACACCCTAAGTCCCTCTCTCCCCCCAACAACCCAATACCCTGTCTCCCCCACCACACCCTGACTCACTCCATTCCATACCCTGAGTCCCCCTCCCCACATTGACTCCCTCTTTCCCCCAGACCCCAACCCCTCACCCCCACCACACCCTGACCCCCTGTCTCCCTCCCACACCCTGACCCCTTCTCTCTCCACCACACCCTGACTCCGTCTCCCCCCCCATCCTGCCTCCCCCTCTCTCCCCCACACCACTACACCCTTTCTCACCCCCACACCCCAACTCCCTCTCCCCCACCACACCCAGACCCCAACTCCCTCCCTGCCGACACCCAATGTCCCTCTGACCCCATTTCCTAAGACCCTTGAAGTGATTCACCCTAAAGTAGGATCGATGAACTACTTTAGTTTCCACTGAGCCTACACTTAAATGCACTTGGTAACACAGTCAGTTTAAATCTGGATCTGCAGCCCCTCTTTAAAATGCGCACAGGGAGAATGAAACCGTGTATAGACATCCGTCCACCAGGCTGCCAGAGAGACTGAAGCATGGGAACTTGATTTCTCTGCTTCCAGCACTGACCCTGCTCAGCAATGGGACAAAGTTATCAGGTCATTCCTGTCAGCCTGCTACACTGGGTATGGGAGTGACACACAACCACACACAGCTCAAGAAATGAATCCAGATGAAAGTGGAAAAAATTTCCTCCAATCTGTCCTGCAGGATCATTTGTGAAGTCTGTTTACTTCAGAATGAGCTCACTGGTTACTGTATCCATAATATAAATCCTTAATTACTGAGAGTCTAGGTCCTATGGGGGCAGGCAAGTTGATGATTGGCAATCAGTCCTTTATATATCTGGGATGGATGATTTGGAAGTTACGCTGCCTCTCCTTAACCAGAATTATATAAGAACACTGCTATTCAGGAAAAACATCCTTTTTTTTGGAGTTGAGGGCCCTCTTATTGCAAGTTCACCCTTTCATCTGAACATTGCTGAGATGATTTTAAATGACTTCATTGGCTGGTGAAGCAGTTATTGGCTTGATGGTTTTTATGAGATTTGCCGAAATGGGACCAGGTTATCGGAGAGAGGTAATTGCAACGTTTCCAGAGGAGGGCTGCATTTTTCCAACTTGTGAGTTGTTGCTGCATGCAGTGTTTTCCAGAACTGATGTCTGTTAATAAAAAAGAGGGTTAGTTTAGTCGAGACTGGGCAGCGGCTTGGAAACTTGAGAGGGAGCTCAGATCGGAAGGAAGCAAAACTGGTCACAAGACAGAGACATTACGCAGCAAAGTTAGAAAATAGATGAAGTTAAGGATGAAGGATCAAAAAAGATTAGAATGGAAGTCAGGGGCACTGTGTCTCAATGCACACAACATTCACAACAAGATAATGAATTCAGAATCACAGAATTGCTGCAGAACAGAAGAAGGCCATTCAGCCCATCATGTTTGTCCCAGCTCTCTGAACGAGCATCACGACCTAGTGCCTGTCCTGTCTACACACGATTGTCTAACGCATTCTTGAAAGTCTTGATTGAATCTACCTGCTCCTCATTCCAGACCTGAACCACTCACTGTGTGAGAAGTTTATTTCTCACATTGAATTTACTTCTTTTGAAAATCATGTTTTAAATCTGTGCCCTCAGCTTCTTGATCCTTTTTGCGAGCAGGAGCAGTTTCTTCCTTTCTGATCTGTCCAGGCCTCTCACCATGTTGAAAACTCCAATCATATCCCATTTTGCCTTCAACCACCACATCTCCAACCCATCTTCATAACTGAAGTTTCTCATCCCTGTGCAAAGACCACATCTTTTTATTCTTCTTTATTTCGGAGTGGGACCAACATAGGAGAAGAACTCCTTTCAATCAAAGATTGTGGAAAGAGTTGCTGCACTCTTCTAAACAAGTTACTGGAACTCACTGTGAGTTGTGTTTACACTGTTGCTTTGTTCAAGCAGTGGAGGGAGATGTTTGAGATGCTGAAGTACCATGGGGTTGTGCGCAGAGCAATCTTCACCCAGCGACAGATTGCTGATTGGGTTGTGGACGCCAGGAGTCAACAGCATTCTGATTGGCTCCTGAGCAGATGGTCAGCTTGTGTATGAGCAAGACAGAGGCAGAAGGTCTCCAAACAGCAAGAAAAAACATCTCTCTCTCTTTCTTCCTCTCTCTCTCTCATTCTTTCTCTGAAATTCACTCTCTCTCTCTCTTCCTCTCCCTCTCTCTCTTCCTCTCCCTCTCTCTCTCATTCTTTCTCTGCCATTCTCTCTCTCTCCCCCCCCCCTCTCTCTCATTCTTTCTCTGCAACTCTCTCTCTCTTCCTCTCCCTCTCTCTCTCATTCTTTCACTGCCATTCTCTCTCTCTCTCTCTCCCCCCCTCTCTCTATCTCTCTCTCTTCATTCTTTCTCTGCTACCATCTCTCTTTCCCACCCTCCTTCTCTCTCTTTCCCCCCCACTTTTTCTCTCTCTGTCCCCGTCTTTCACACTCTCTGTCTGCAGTGAAGTAACCAAAAACTGAAAGATAACTAATTATTCTCTCCCACCATTTTCTGGATATTGTTGCCTCTAACTAGTGACTGAGAAACTGAACAATTAAGCTGTCACCCGCCCTGTGTCTTTAGCAAGGAGCTGGAAGGATTTGGAAATAAGGGACTTGGAAGAAGCTAAAAGGGCAGCTTATTGAATCCTGTGGTGCTTCTGGACTGTGCTTCCCCGGCTTTGTTGCTTTCATCCGTAACATTGATGTTTGTTTGTTTGTGTCTGTCTTTTATCTGTGGTGTAGGGGTTTAGGAAGAGGATGGAGCTTAAGCATTTTCAGGATAGTGATCTCTCACAGTGGGGTGCCACGGGGATCAGCGTAGGACCACAATTATTTACACCTATTTACATAAATTATTTATTCTATCATTTATATACAAGTCTCTTGGATGAGGAAAGTGAATGTACTACCGCTACGTTTGCAGATGACCTAAAGATAGGGGAGAGGCAAGGAGTGAGGATAAGACGAAGAGTCTGGGGAGTGATATATACAGGTTAAGTGAATGGGCAAAAACTTGGCAGATAGAATGTAATGTGGGAAAATGCGAGGTTATACACTTTGGCAGGAAGAACAGAGGAGCTAAATATTACTTAATTGGAGAAAGCTACAGCAGAGATCAATTTGGGAGACTACGTCCATGACTCACAAAGAGTGAGTTTCCAATTTCAGTCAGTAATAAGGAAAGCTAATGGAATGCTGGCCTTTATTTCAAAGGGAATGGAGTATAATAGTAGGGAGATTTTACTAAAACAGTGCAAGGCACTAGTCAGATCACAGCTGCAATACTGTGAACAGTTTTTGGGGCCCCTTATCTAAGGAAAGGTAACACTGGGTTTGGAAGCAGCCCAGAGGAGGTTCGCTAGGCTAGTACCAGGTATGAAGGGACTGTCTTATGAGGAGATGTTGAGTAAACTGGGCCTGTACTCATTGGAATATAGAAAAATGAGAAGCTGCGTTAGGATACAGGATTCTTAGGGAATTGACAATATAGATCCGGAAAGGTTGTTTCCCCTTGTGGGAGAGTTTACAACCAGACGGTATAATCTCAGAATAAAGGGTCACCCATTTAAATCAGACCATTGTCTAATCTGCTTGCTCAGGTGGAGGCAAAGGGGACTTGGAGCTATTCCCACTGTCCTGGGTCAATAGCTATTCCTCAATTAACTTCAAAACACCAGCTTATCTGACCATTATCATATTGCTGCATGCAGGAACGTGCTGTTTAGAGCAGATGGTTAGTGTTTGGTTGGATTGGCGGAAGATTATATGTTCAGTCATCGACCTGGTGAAGTCTGCTCCTTCTCTGAGATTATCAGTGTGTTTTAACTTTGTGCTTCAGCTGTTTAGTTTAATGGGTACCTTCATTGGGTACCTTCAAGGCTGATACAGATAGAATTTTGTTCTCTCTGGGAATCAAGGAGTGGGTGGGCAGGTAGAGTTGAGGTAGAAGATCGGTCACAATCATTCTCTTATTCATTCCTGAGATGTGGACATCACTGGCTGGGTCAGCATTTATTGTCCATCCTTAATAATCTTGGAGAGGCTGCCAGTGAGCTGCCTTCTTGTAATGCTGTTGATGAGGATCAGGAATTCCAGGATTTTGATCCACGCACTGAAGAGATATTTCCAAGTCAGGATGGTGAGCGGCTCGGAGGGGAACTTGCAGGTGGTGGTGTTCCCATGTATCTGCTGCCTTTGACCTTCTAGATGGTAGAGGTTTAGAAGGTGCTGTCTAAGGAGAGTTGGTGAACACCTGCAGTGCACCTTGTGGATGGTACATACTGCTGCTACTTAGTGTCAATGGTGGAGGAAATGAATGTTAAACAAATGGATATGGTGCCAATCAAGCAGGATGCTTTGTCCTGAGTGGTGCCAAGCTTCTTGAGTATTGTTGGAACTGTGCTCATCCAGGGCAAGTGGGGAGTATTCCATCACATTCCTGACTTGTGCCTTGCAGGCTCTGGGGAATCGGGAGGTGAGTTACTCGCTGCAGGATTCCCAATCCCTGACCTGCTGCTGTGGTCCAGGATTTATGTAGCTACTTCAGTTGGTAAAGACGCAGGTGTTGATAGTGGCGGCTTCAGCAATGATAATGCCATTGATATCAGGCTGGAGGGACAGAATGGCCTACTCCCATTCCTGTTTCTTATGGTATGCCAGTTGACTGATGCATTTCCTATGTTGTCAAAATAATTAATTGGCTGTAGACTGTTGTGTGGTCATGAAAAGTGTTGTACATACGCCTTCTTTCAGGTTGAAGTTTAGGATCAACAACCCAGTGCGCGATGTCACTTATTTCACAGACGTCACTCATCATCAGTATATATTAACACAGCCGATGTTCTGTCTGTTTCAGGTATAGCGATGTTCCTGGACAGCCCTCAGTGGGATAATGTGCCTTTTATACTGACTGCTGGAAAAGCTCTGGATGAACGAGTTGGTTACACTCGAATTCTGTTCAAAAACAAAGCCTTCTGCCTCCAAAATGAGTCAACGAGAAAAGCTGGATTCAGTCAATGCAGGCAGAGACAAATAATCTTTTATGTTGGCCACGGAGACTTGAATTTTCCGGCTATATTGGTGAGTAAAAACCTGTTCAAACCGGTGATAGATGCATCGAGCTGGAAACAAGTGACGGAATTTCCCGATGTCCAGATGTTTGGAATTCCCTTATCGGATTATTACATCTACACTCCCGTGATGCAAAAGGATGCTTACGCAGTGTTAATACCTCAAATTTTCCAGGCCAAGAGGGACTCTTTCATCAATACCGAGGATCTTTTGGCATCTTGGAAAGTCTGGACGCCCTTACTGAAAGAGCATTCTAAAGTGAGCCCACGTCTTTATCCAGGAGGGGCCCAAAATGGAGATATATTGGACTTCACAGTAGAGGGAAGGGTGGTATCTTTCAGTAGGTCAGACCCCGTGCAGATCATATCGGAGAGTCCTAGCCTTCAAACTGCGAGTGACTACAAGGCAATAGCCTCAACTTTCCGAGGGAATACCTTGGTGTCTGCAGGCACAGAGGACCTGATCATTAAGCTGGCCTCCCACCTGCAGCAGAAAGCCCAGGACGCTGTGCAAGAGCGTGGGAACTTCCATCTTGCCGTTTCAGGAGGCTCGAGCCCGATTGACTTGTTCAGGAGGTTGGCCATGCACCACTATATGTTCCCTTGGAAACGCACCCACTTTTGGATGGTGGATGAGCGGTGCGTCCCATTCGATGACCCCAAGTCGAACTTCAGGAGCTTGCATGACAACCTGCTGAAGTACTTCAGGATCCCTTATGTCAACATCCACCCAATGCCCGTTCGCATGAACCAAAGGCTGTGTGTTGAGGACGACCGCGGCGCAGATCTCTACGCCAATGAGATTGAAATGCTGGTCAATAGGACAAGCTTTGATTTTGTTTTGCTGGGGGTGGGTGCTGATGGCCACACTGCCTCACTGTTTCCCAACAGCCAGGCTCTAACCCATGAGGGAAACCTGGTTCTGTTTACAGAAAGCCCAGTCAAACCCCATCAACGGATGACCCTTTCTCTAAGTGCAATCAACAAGGCTAGGCATGTCGCTGTCTTAATAACAGGGAAAATCAAGCACCCGCTAGTGGCGAGGATAAGCAAGGAGGTAAAGAAATCAGAGAAATTGCCCATTACAATGGTTCAGCCATCAGGTGGTGAACTCATTTGGTTTATTGACCATGACGCACTCTTTGGCTGATCAAGTTTCATCACAGTTAGCATCTTCACTGCCTGCCAATTCAAAACTTTGGGTGTAGCAAATTCACTGAAGTCACTCTGTTAAAGAATTGATGTTTTCATTCTTACTATGGGGTATGGGGTGTTAATTCTGGGTGTGAGTATCAAAGCAGCAAACATTTTTAGAAAATCTTAACAAGCAATAAGTACATTTTAATTCATTTCTACAGTTATATAGAACCCACTCCACTTTATTCTGAATATTTTAACCGACCTGTTCGGACACATGTCGGGAGCAGGTGGGTCTTGAACCCAGGCCTCCTGGCTCAGAGATAGGGACACTACCGCCGAGCCACAAATGGTCTTTCATTTCATTTTGTTGATTGTAACTGAATGAGACTCGGATGTGTTCTATAGCTAGACTGGTAATTCACTTCATTAGATCCCTACCTCCAGGTGGTGAAACCAAACAGCTCTCCCATTATTAGGTAATTAATCCACAACCTTTTGTACATTTTTATTAAATAGTGACACCTCTGAGTGTATGAATGATTGGTTGAAATGTTGAGTGGTCATGTCACAGACAACTGTTCGAATGGTTCAGCTTTCTGTTGCCAATGTCCTGTAAGAAATAATGATTTATCTGCAAACCAGCTGGTCACAAACAGTCTCCCAGATCTATAGGCATGTATTTTCCCTGAATGTCAGCCAAGTGTCTTTTTACTCAGGTATCCTTTTCGGAAAGAAGACAGGGGCATTTAACCACAGAGACTGTGCAACAAAGTGAGAAGAAGCGTATAAACATATGTTGCAAAATACAGGGGCTATTTGGAATTTTCTTTCTGCCCCAACTGTGGTGCTTGTAGCAGAACCTTCGCTGAGGTTCTGCTAGTCTCACTAAAAGTGCAAACTTAATTTACATGGCCTTAGCAAATCTCACTGTCATGGCTTACGTCTTCAACACAGGAAAATATTTTAGTAGTGAACATGTTAGGAAGAGAGGAAAGGAAGGCACCTTCCTTTGGTGAAGAAAATTGCTGGATACCAGCACTAGTTTTGCCATTGGAGGTTACAGCTGTAATTCTGACTAACATGGAGATAGAGTGTTGGAGTCCAGAAAGACGTTTATTGAAGAATAGAACTGGAGCTAATCCGCACACACTTTCACATTGATCTGCAGACTAGCTCATTATGAGCATATATCTAAACCAACAACAGTTTTTCAGTCTGTGTCTAAAAGGATTTAAGTGTCAATGTCCACAAGCTGCACACATACAATTAAACATCATCACTATACAATTAACATTGAGCCTTGTTGTGATAAGGGGAGGTTTAGGTAGGAATGTAGCGTAATCAGAATGGCCATGATCTTCTTGATCTATGGAATTCCTTGCCCAGTGAAGTAGTTGACGCTACTTCAGTAAACTCTTTTTAAAAAAAAGTAGATTTTTTTTGAACAATAAAGGAATTAAGGGATACGGTGAGAACGCGGGTAAGTGGATCTGAGTCCACGAAAGGATCAGCCATAATCTTATTGAATGGCAGAGCAGGCTCGAAGGGCCAGACGGCCTACTCCTGCTCCTAGTTCTTGTGTGTTCTTGTGTTCTTGTGAATGGTAGAATAAACTCAAGAGGCTGAGTGGCCACATCTCCAGATATGTGTGTGTATGTATATGTGCCAGCCTTTGTATTGAACTTTTTACAGTTATGATTCCCTCATGGGATGTGTGCATCAGTGACAAGGCTCAAGCATTAACACAGGGCTTGAAACACCAGTGGAATGAAACTTGCTGCCCGAACATTGTATTTTTGCACTGAATGTTAAAGAGGCACTGAACTGCCAGTTTGTGAATAATTGTGGGAGCCGACAGATCACTTCCCTTAGCCACACTGTATGAAGAACCCAGCTAACATTGCCGGACAGATATTTCTCCAAAAGGGAGTTATTTACAAATTGCCAATTTGGTAACAGTTTTAAGTTAATTTTGAGTTGTCAGCCTTTTTTTCTTCATGATACAAGGTCCTTTCTTCTTATGTTGTTCCCAGTTAACTTCAATCCTGGAATATTCACTAATTGTGCGTACAGTGTACGCAATGCACTGAGATGACTTGTGGCTTTGCCTCTCTTTTTGAAGATCCCTGAATTGTGAAGTTCAAGATGTTCCCACATGCTTGACTTTCTAATGTTGCATTGGACAGGCTTGTGTTTCTTAGAGCCTAATTTAATTGCTGCATTTACTTGTATAACACACTGCACTTCAATGTTTAATAACGTATAGGAAATGCTTTAGGATGTCACAGAGATTTTAAAAAATCAGTATTTATATAGCACCTTTCACTGTCTCAGGCCATCCTCGTGTGCTTTACATCCAATGGAGCACTTCGAAAAGGTAGAAATGTATTGTGGGATACATGGCAACCAATTGTGAGAGCTTGCTGTGCACAAGCAGTAATGTGACAATGTTTAGATAATCTGCTTTGTGCTGATGGTTCAGGGATTAGCATTGGCCTGGGGCACTGGAAATTGAGCCACGGTCTTTGAGTCCCACCGTAGAGGAACAGTCAAAGGTTTAATTTGAGTGTCAGTCTGGATTGTGCGCTGTTGTCTTTGAACTATCCATCTTGTAATTCAGAGGCGAGAGTGCTACTACTTAGCTACAGCTGACTGGGAAACTAAACACAAACATGTTCCTGTCATCATTTTGTGGCAACTATCCATTCATACATTTTGAATAAACAATTTGCAGCTCTGGACTTTTAAAGGATTTTAGTTCACTCAGTCCGTAAGGTGTGCTGCATTTCCTGTTCAACTCTCTGCAATTCAGTGATCTTTCCCATGTACTTGTGAAAAAATTACCTCGGTTGTATACTTTTAAGATTAACTGTAAGATTGACTGCTTGTTGCACCTGATGCTGTTGCTATTATTCTGTCATAATGTCGTAATGAAGTGTGACAATGCTTGAATTTATCAGCTGGGACCTGGTATAAGATAAAACCACGAAAAGCTGGTCTGACTTTTAAAAAAAATTCTCAACTGAATCCCTCCTCATTTGCTGAGTTTCAGGTGATACTTCTGGTCCTTATGGTGGCTCAGTGGATAGCACTGCTGCCTCACAGCGCCAGGGACCTGGGTTCAGTTCCACCCTCGGGCGATTGTCTGTGTGGAGTTGGCACATTCTCCCCGTGTCTGCGTGGGTTTCCTCCGGGTGCTCTGGTTTCCTCCCACAGTCCAAAGATATGCAGGTTAGGGTGGATTGACCATGCTAAATTGCCCCATAGTACCCAAGGATGTGCAGGCTAGGTGGGTTAGCCATGGGAAATGTGGAATTATAAGAATGGGGTGGGGTGGCTGAGTCTTGGTGGGATGCTCTTAGGAGGGTCCAGTGCAGATTTAATGGGCCAAATGGCCTCTTTCTGTAATATAGGGATCCTATGATTCTATGTGCAGCATTATTGGTGTCGCTCCACAAGTGTGGGTAAGGGGTGTGTACTGAGGTCCCAAATGGGGGGAGCTTGGCAGTGCAGGGGCATGGCCTTGCCATGAACCAGTTTAGTGAGGACCAATCTCACCCAAAGCCTGCCATTCAACAGATGGCATTTGTCAGAAGGATCTTGTTAGTGACCGTCCATGTTTCTGACTGTTTGATCTGAAGGGCCTGGTCAGGAAGGTAGCTTCAATGTGGGCAGTGGATGAGTTAAACTCTGTGCTGCTCATTCACCATTCACATATCTGTGGGCTTTTGTCAGTTGGCAGATGTGTGAAGGTGTGATGTGCTGGAGGCCAGGGGAAGTGTATGGAGTAGAGGGTTCCAGCTTCTGTGCACATTGTTGCATTCAGCTGCGTGCTAACACAATATGCGATGACCTTTGGCAGCTGGGTGCGCAGTACTGAGCTGTGGAGTATGAAAGGGCAGATGCAGAGGTCTAGAATGTTGCCATATAGATCCAACAACGAGGCTGCTTCATCTACTTCCTTCCAACGTACCTGGAAGGACAGCGTCCTCCCTACATCGATTCCCAAAATGCCGGGTTGGGATTATACTTTAGTCTGTGATTGTCCATGGTGATACAAGTCTTCACTGGCACTGGCATTGTAGGTGTAGAATCCAGTGGATAGGGTTTTGGAGGGATTCAATGTGAGGTACCATGAACTTTGTAACATCTTTGTTAAGGATGTGGTCCAGGGCCAGAATGGTGTATCTCTGAGAATGCATGTATGAAACACCCATGCCAGGGAGCAGCAGCGGTGATTGCAGATTCTTCCCATGTTGCATTCCCGGTTTGATTCCCAGTTGACAGATTACTAGGTATTAGCACTAAGTGGAGATGCACTGCCTATGAAGAACCTAACAGCACTGCCTCGATATTTTCTAGTGGCTAACCATTATTGTTGGTGCTCATAGAGACTAAAGAACTGTTCTCAATGAAGGGGACCTTTTGGAAGTGAAAGAGCCATCATTCCAAAAGGGGAAAATGTAAGAAATAATTCTCAAAGAGGTGATCATAACAGAAATCCACTCTGCTCCCATAAAGATTGGTTGTACAGTCTTGGGATCTTGCATTTGGTGCCTACAAACAATTTTAGGGTTACTGGGTACTACGTTTTCTGTTCAGAGATTTTGTGCAAAAGCTACTATACTTATTGTCCCATTGAAAAGCAATTATCATAAATGATGAGTTAAACTCTGTGGGTCTATTTTTGAGCAAACGTTTTTAATTGAGACATGATTATCTTTGAAAATGTATGTTTTTCTTTGCGTGTTTCTAAGTGTTTTCAGAATTTCTCTACGGATTTGTTTATACACTGGCTAAGAATTTGTATATTTGTTTCCACCAACAATCACGACAGATTAAAGATTGAATAACAGTTTTATTTTTAATGCTGTTCGATTCATTTTTGGCGTGTGTTTTTCAAAGTGAGGGGAATGTCTGCTTTTGAAAGAAGGAAGATTTTTCCAATTACTGCACATTTACTGACAGGATTCAATAGAAAATTATCTGTCAGCCCCAGTCATAATAACCTTCGCAAATTGGGACAGTGAGACTGCCTATTAATAGTAACATGAATAGGAACATGTGCTACATGCTAATAAGAAATGAGCTCCTGCTCCTGCATTTAACAGCCAATTTGGTACATTGTTTAGTGCCCATTGGAATGAAGGATGACTGCCTGAAATATTGACCTGCCCTGTCTTTGTTCAGCTCTTGACAACCCTGCTGTGCATTCTCAGCATTTTCTGCTTCTGTTTTGCACTTGAAGCAGCATTAATTATGTTACGCTCTTTACCAGGTACCCCTCTTCCTAACGTCCAATCACGCTTTAGAGCGGGGCTCCCCATCGTGGGGACTGGCCCCAAGATCTGACTGCAGTTGTGCTCTCGCATTGGCAAACAGCAGCGCCCCCACCCCCCCCCAGCCCATTTTTAACCAGCCCCCATCTCATCCTGCTCTCTCGGCTCTCACTGAGGGGTTGCAAACATTTCCAGACCTCAAAACGGGGTCACAGTGGGAAAAATTTGGGAAGCACTACTTTAGGGTCTTAACAAACGTGTTGAATTTCAATACCGAAGACTGCAGCAAATGTACAACATCCCAATGTGTGAGTCTGTTTGATCTCATCAGGATAAATAATTAAAGACCTTTGTTTCAATATGGTTTCATTCAACAACATCAGTTGGGTATAAGCTGCTGCCATGTGGTTTCTTTTATTTTCTCTTCGAGACAACAACATTATTTTGCATTTATATAGCACCTTTAATTCGATAAGCTCTCCCAAGGCTCTTCAGAGGAACGTTTTCAAACAAAATACGATGCCAAGCCGCGTAAGATTATATTAATGCAGATGAACCAAAAGCTTGGTCAAAATTATAAGTTTTGTAGGAGGGAGTGTTTCTGTGTTGGAGAGATGGCAGGAAGAGAATTGCAGAACTTTGGGGCCTAGGCAGCTGAAGGCAAGGCATCAGTGATTGAATGATTAAAATCAGATGTTCAAGAGGCCAGAATTAGATAAGGCCTGATATCTTGGAGGGTTGTAGGGTGTGTTTGTGTGGTAGTGTCCCTACCTCTGAGTCAGGAGGCCTGGGTTCAAGTTCTCCAAAGGTGTGTAATAACATTTCTGAACAGGTTGGTTAGAAACCAAGGCAAAAGTAGAGTCCTTGTGGCGCAGTGGTAGTGCCCCTACCTATGAGCTAGGAGACCCAGATTCAAGTGCCATCTGCTCCAGAGGTGTGTAATAATATAAACCAAATAAAAACCAAAAGAACTGCGGATGCTGTAAATCAGGAACAAAAACAAAGTTGCTGGAAAAGCTCAGCAGGTCTGGCAGCATCTGTGGAGGAGAAAATAGAGTTAACGTTTCAGGTCCGGTGACCCTTCCTCAGAACTGATGGCGGCTGGGAAAACGTCAGTTTATATGCAGAAAATAGGGAGGTGGGTGGGGTAGGGAGTAAACGATAGGATAGAGCCCA